CCACAAGCTCTGGTTCTGCGGCAGGCTCAATCCGCTCGTAAATTGAAGCCACGATTCTGGCAGCAGCGAGAGCATCTTCAAGCACTTGGTCTGCTCCGGGTAGGTGATTCCCGCGGTCGCCAACTTCGCGTACAGGTCGCGCATCTTGTCCAGGACTGGTTGCACCGGCTCTCCCTCGCTCAGGCGCAACGCGGACAGCTCCCTCTCCAGCATCAACGTTGCGACAACGGAGGTCGGGGCGTGCAGCTCCTTCAACACGGTCCACGCCTTCGGACCGCATTCAACCTCCGGCAGCAGGTGCATGACGTGGTGACGCTGGTTCAGCTCCAAACTCTGCGACATCAAATAGTAGCCAGCCGAGGAGCGCTCGTCCCAATCTTCCTGCAGCGTGGGGTCACTCGGTCTAGGCTCCTCCCCAATCATTAGTTTCAGCAAACCGATCTGACGGAAATATAATTGCATTTTCCAGGCCCAATCATCATAGCCCTCACCATTGAACTTCTCGACGGTGAAATTCTTCAGCACCTCCTTGACAAGCGAGCCCTGGTTTGTTCGCGCTCCCCTTGGCGCTGAAAGACCAGAATCTTGGCTGCCGCTACGATCTTGGGCTGAAGATTCACCAGCTCCCGCCGAGGTGTTGCCCGCCATAGCTACCTATAACGAGGATCACTATAACACAGCTCTGATACCAGCTTGTTGGTGTAAGGGCCTAATAAACTCAAGCTATTAGGACTTAATCAAACTTAAAACCTCTCCTCGGGGTCACCTCCAAGGGTCCCTGGGTGCCTGGTACAAGACCAGCCCCTATCCTCGGGTCCGAGTTTGTAGAGAGAGGGATCAAGAAGGACTTAGTCAAAACAGCAAGAGTACCTTGAACGTCGCGCAGCGTGCCGTGCAGACCGTCGGTCGGATTAAGCTGAGAATTCGCTATATCGAAGCTCGCTCCAAGAGCTTTAAAATGAGCCAAGTTGCCTCGCGAAAAGTTCTGCCATTACTAAGTTCTGGCTCGGACAGCGTTTGCCTAGCGTTGGAGTGCTAGCATACTAGCGTTGACTCGGGTAGCATTCCGCCGTCGAATAGCGCAGAAACGAAATTCCAGCGAGGAAGGAATTCGCTTGAATCAATTTGACTATATTCAGGTACAAACAGAGAAGGATTAAATAGTTCTAGCTAGCAAGGACCTTGGGAATCAACCTGGGAACAACCAGGGATGATCCCAAATAATTCCAAGCAACAGAACCAACCTGGCTGGACAAAATAGCAGGTGGTAGGTTGGTAAACAACCTCTGGTTATGTTTTTCCAACCTGGGAAAACAACAACCAGGTTCAGGTTCTAAAAACAGAACCTGTTTTGTCTTTGCCCAACCAGCCAAATGCTGGTTCCGCTGGTTTCCCCTGGCCTTGTAGCATGCAGATACAGACAAACAACATCCAACCTTCACCTAAATTGTACCCCTATAGTGCCTTCCCTGCTACACTATAGTTAACCAAACAAAACAGTACAATTTCGAGTTGGATAGAACTGAATCTGCGCAATCAACTCAACCGAACTGCAAAGCTTCCATCTTGGGTTCCTTTGCGAGCTCGTCCTTTCTGCTTGCACTGTTCATAGCGCGTACAATGTTGTGCCAAAGCGCACATTGCGCGAGTACCTGCAAATGCATCAAGCGAAAATTGCGAAAGCAAACAAACACACGAACATTCCATTCACACCCAACTGCATTCGCACACGCATACTCGTACAAACAGACGGCATGATGTCGTGCAATGTGAATTTGCACCCAACAAAATATCATTGGCTACGCGGATGCTGTGCAACTGGATGATCCCGAAGTATTATCATCAGCGTCATAGCATCTATGTGAAGAGCAATGGACTACCATAGGAGCTTACTACGTATTTCACAACGCTTTGCTCAGACAACCGGCTCATCAGCTGTCTCAACTCATATCTTCAGAGCTTCTGCCGGGACACTGTCAACATTGCACGATGCCTCCGAAAAACTCGCGCGCTAAGCCTGTGGTCGATGCTCCTGCTGGTGGTGGTGATCCTAAAAGCAAAATAACACCAAGCAAGGGAAAGGAAGTCATTGATAACCTCCAGTCGGAAGCGGAAGTGACGGCTGGCGGCTCTGGTTTCACCATAGAATAAAAGTTGAAAGCGCTTGAAACGGTTACTTCGGACGACTCTTTCATTGAACATGATTCTGATGAGGAGCTCGAGATCGATGCGGCTAAGAGTTCTCACCCGCATTTGCGCTTCACTGCGATCTTGTTTTTTTCGGTCATCCCTTCTCACGAAGTTGCTTCGGTGATTCTGACCGCGCGGATGCTGATGAAGCATGTCTGGTCTAACCTGCTTACTGATGATGTTCTCGCTTCGGTGAAGTTCCAGGAGCTGCTCCCCGCCTTTTTCGCGAAGACCCGCTACAGCCGGCTCCAAGTTTCTTTCCTGCATGATTCTGACGCGGTGAACATCAAGTAGACGGCGGTGGAACACAAGCACCAGAACGGCACGACACTTCACTGTTTCTGGCTGCATGAGGAGGACGCGGCTTACCTTCGCAAGAAGTCTTCGAGTCCGCAGCTGCTGGAAGTCTATTTCAAGAATGTACCTGCTGACATCCCGCCGGAGCTGGTTAAGGAAGTCATGGTGACTCACCCGCTCAGGATCCGGAAGCAGTCTGCTTTTGCTGAAGGTCACTGCTTCCACCGTGTTCTTCACCCGGTCACCACTGCTGACACTGACAAGATCAAGGGGTTGGTGGTTCAGCACGCTGGCAACAAGCACCGCTAGCGCCACGAGTTCCGCCATCAGCTGCTGGGAGGGATGACCCTGTTGGCCCACTACCCGTTGCTATCCTGCTTGCTCTGTAGTGGACACCATTATGACAAGTTTCATAATGCTTTCATCACGGAGCGTCAGAATAATATAGGGAAGTAGAGTTTAACTGTGGGACGGGTTGATAGGATCAATGGTAACTGCTGCTTACGTTTATTGGGTTGTCGTTTTGCCTTTCAAATCTTGACAGTCACTGATGCGCCGCTTGTCCCTCGCAGCTGCCTCTCTCCGCGTTTCTCCGCTTATCACCCCGCTATTGCTTGATGCGGCTTTTGTGTTGATCTCCACTGGGAGCAACCGGGAGGAAAGGCTGTGTACCCTCGAAAGCTGTGGGAAAACCCATGGCATGTCATTCATGGCTGCAGCGGACCATATCACGTCGGCGAGTCACCTGCTGGGTCTGGAGAAGTTGGGTGCAGCCACCTGCAGCTCCCTGGAGAAGCTCGGCCCGCATGTCATCCGCAATGAGTTCCAGATCTGAAACCCTCACCTTCATGCCAGAAGCAGAGATGTGTAGCGATTGCGGTTTTTCTTGCTTGCGTAGTTGTAGCCGGTGGTACCTGCCCGTGGATGCGATGGGGCTTATCAGCAGTGATTAAATGAGTACAAAAAGTCTTCTTTCATTTGCAGGCCTGAATGTCAATGGCCTGGGGGATGGAAACAAGCAACAACGGACAAAATTATGGATTAAACAAGCAGCTGACGTCAGGCTCTCGGATGACCATCCATTCTGGAAGTCTCTAAATCAACCTAACATCTTAGTCGCCTCACCAACCATAAAAGCCGGGCGAGTGGCTCTAATCTGTCGCAGACCTGGCCTCTCATTGCACAACACACTCATTCACTCGTCAGGAAGACTTGTCGCAGCAGATGTCCACCTTGCTCTTTCCGCATCACCTTGCTGGCCGTCTACTTCCCGGCGGATGCTGCTGAAAGGAAGACTTTCGTCCGCATGACGCTGGGCCCGGTGGTGGATTCAGTGCAGCTGGGTACGCACCTGCTCATCTTGGGAGATTTTAACCTGGTAAAGGACCCGCTGCTGGACAGGACGTCGAAGAAAATGTTGGGTGCAAATGCACATTGCACGACATCCTGCCGTCTGTTTGTACGAGTATGCGTGTGCGAATGCATTTGCGTGTGAATGGTGTGTTCGTGTGTTCGTGTGTTTGATGCATTTGCAGGTACTCGCGCAATGTGCGCTTCGGCACAACATTGTACGCGCTATGAACAGTGCAAGCAGAAAGGACGAGCTCGCAAAGGAACCCAAGATGGAAGCTTTGCAGTTCGGTTGAGTTGATTGCGCAGATTCAGTTCTATCCAACTCGAAATTGTACTGTTTTGTTTGGTTAACTATAGTGTAGCAGGGAAGGCACTATAGGGGTACAATTTAGGTGAAGGTTGGATGTTGTTTGTCTGTATCTGCATGCTACAAGGCCAGGGGAAACCAGCGGAACCAGCATTTGGCTGGTTAGGCAAAGACAAAACAGGTTCTGTTTTTAGAACATGAACCTGGTTGTTGTTTTCCCAGGTTGGAAAAACAGAACCAGAGGTTGTTTACCAACCTACCACCTGCTATTTTGTCCAGCCAGGTTGGTTCTGTTGCTTGGAATTATTTGGGATCATCCCTGGTTGTTCCCAGGTTGATTCCCAAGGTCCTTGCTAGCTAGAACTATTTAATCCTTCTCTGTTTGTACCTGAATATAGTCAAATTGATTCAAGCGAATTCCTTCCTCGCTGGAATTTCGTTTCTGCGCTATTCGATGGCGGAATGCTACCCGAGTCAACGCTAGTACGCTAGCACTCTAATGCTAGGCAAACACCGTCTGAGCCATAACTTCGTAATGGCAGAACTTTTCGCGAGGCAACTTGGCTCATTTTAAAGCTCTTGGAACGAGCTTCGATATAGCGAATTCTCATCTTAATCCGATCGACGGTCTGCACGGCACGCTGCGCGACGTTCAAGGTACTCTTGCTGTTTTGACTAAGTCCTTCTTGATCCCTCTCTCTACAAACTCGGACCCGAGGATAGGGGCTGGTCTTGTACCAGGCACCCAGGGACCCTTGGAGGTGACCCCGAGGAGAGGTTTTAAGTTTGATTAAGTCCTAATAGCTTGAGTTTATTAGGCCCTTACACCAACAGAAAAGCTCAGCAAAAGAGAATGATGGGTTATATCAACGGTGCAGCGCTTTCAGCGTTTCGGATGCATTCAGGGTTCTGCATCCTTATAAGCGGGAGTTTACCTTTTACTCATGTGCTAATCAGTCCAGTTCGCGGATTGACAGAGCGTTTACTTCGCAGTCGCTATTGCCGCACGTGGAGATCGCCACAAATATTGTGCCGGCGGATCTGATCTCTGATCACAGTTTTGCGGTGAAAACCGCCTTCAGGATGGACCCGGGCTTTGGAAGTTACCTGCATACATGATTGGACGGCCGGGGGTCAGAAAGATCATTGAGGCAGTGGAGAGGCAGGTGGCTTCAAACGGGGCAAATTTTTGAGCTACTGATATCAAGGCTTAATGCCGGTCTCAAAGCTTACGTGAAGGAGGAACGCAAGTGGGTTAGAGCCACGACGGCTCATCTTCAGCAAGCAGTCGCAGCGCTGAAGCAGGCGTGGATGGGAGACCCAGGAATGTCCGCCTGAAAGCCCTGCTGGATGAAAAAGAGTCGCAGTTGCGCGGGTATCAACTGGCAAGGCAGGAGACGCTGCACGTGATGGCCGGCATGAACGAAGCAGTGTCAGGGGAGGTTGCGTCCCCATTCCTGTCGAAGGAAAATCAAGGCACGGAAAGAGAATACACAGATCAAGGAGCTGAGTGCAGGTGGGGTGACGGTCACCGACAACAAAGCTATACTGGGGGTGGCGTCATAGTTCTACAGGGAACTTTTCGGTCATGACAGACAACAAACCGTGTCGGGATGGGCTCCTGCTGCCGATAGGACTCTGTCTTCGGCATCAAGGGAGCGGTTGACGGCAGCATGGTCGGAGAAGGAGGTGAAAAGCGCATTCCACTCGATGGCGATGAATAAGGCTCCGGGGAGCGACGGGTTGCCTAAGGAACTGTTCGAGGAGCACTGGGATGTCTTGGGAAAGCACTTCATGTCGTTGGTGGGAAGCTTCACCGAGTCAGCGACGCTTCCTGCAAGCACAAAGAGTGCCGTCACTATACTGCTGCACAAGAAGGGAGGTCGGGATGCAGTCGAGAACTACCGTCCCATCATGCTTTTAAGCTTCACTTACAAGGTGCTGGCGCGGGTGGTCGCAGATAGGATGAAAAGTGTTCTGAACGAAGTGATCTCACCCGAGCAGTCTTACCGCTGGGGTGCAATCTGAACAGACAAGCCAGTAAAACTAACGGCTTCAAATGGGTGAAGGCGGACGAAGCAGAGAGGGTGCTAGGAGTTTGGGTGACGTCGGCGGGCTGCTGCGCGCCCACCTGGGAGAAAGCTTTCGCACGCATAAAAGAGAAACTTAGGCAGTGGGAGGTGCAGCATCTGACGACTGGTGCAAGAGCAGCAGTAATAAACTGCTACATCTCACCGACAATTTTCTTCCAGGCGCAGGTGTACCCTCCTCCGGTGGACATTTGGGGAAGAATTCTGAAGCTGACGCACAAATTCATGTCCGGGTTCCGGGCCTCCACACACAAGGCCTTCGTTCTATGGAGCAAGGATCTACTTAACATGTCTAGGAAGAATGGGGGGGTCGGGGTGAACGATCCGGAGATAGCCCTCACCTGCCTCACGGCGAGACGCATCGGTTTGCTCCTCACCGAGACAAACGATCTGAAACGGGACATCATGCTTAAGGCCGCCGACCTGCCGCTGGGGTTGGACACTTTCGTCTCCCACGTCAAGCTCTTAAAGTGCTGGTGCGGGAAGAGCGAGAGATGGAAGCTGGCCTGTGGGAATTTCATGCAATCGCCGTTAACTGATACATCGCCGGTGCTGTCACGAGCGGAGGCGGAGAAGGAGAGAATAATTTTCAACCGCCACATTCTGCTGAACGGGAGGACCCCAGTGGGAGGGCAGAAGGCAGCGGAGAAGCTCTGGGAAGTCCGGCTAGGCGACCTACTGTGTCCGGATGGTGCGGGGGGCCGGCGGGCTAAGGACGTAAAGCTTCTGGCGAGGGAGCTCGGCGGTACCAAGCAAGCGAAACTGGCACTACGGGCTTGGGACGCTGTGCCGCAGAGTTGGAAGCTGCTCCTTCAGCCTGCCGAGCAACAGAAGAGGGTCTGTTTGGCACCGAGAGCTTCTCTCCAGAGAGCCCATGCTCAACGGGGGACAGCTTACGTTGCTATGGAAGCTGAAGGGGAGTTGGCAGCAGAAGAAGCATCAGTCCGCCAAGAGAGAGCTGTGGGCGGGTAGATGGGCAGGAGAAATAAATTGGAAGGAGGTGGTTAAGATCCGGGACTCTTTAGTGACCCCGAACAGGCCGCGGGATATGCTGCTAAAGACTTACAGCCTGAATCTGCAAGTGGGGGAACCGCTCTCCTTCCTAGGCGGCAAATCGGTCTGTCAACACTGCGGGGATTTTGAGACGTTGGAGCACTGCCTTTTCACCTGCCCGCGCATTCAGCTGGTGGTGGGGGCAGTCAGGCGGGCCATGCGCATGCTCCATCCAGCAAGGCAAGTGGAGAGCCTGGGCGACTTACTGTTTGGCAAAGCAGCGTCCACCTCAGCTTTTCCGGAAGCCTCGCTGGCAGCTATTGCGGTGCATCAGATATAGGCAGAGCGGTGCGAGTGTGTTTCCCGGGAGAAGAGGTTTCGGGATCGGAGCGTCCTCAGGCGTATTGAGGCAGCTTTCCGGCTGCATGTGAAGGTGTACACCCGGGCAACGGGGAGAAAATCGGAAAGGGGAGGTGGTTTGAAACGACACGGAAGGACCTGGATGCTGGCATGACAGGAGAACTGTTTGCTTGGACGTATCTGATGCATGAACGAGAAGGGATGGAACTGGACCCGGAACTTAGGGGCATTGTGGAACCTTGCGCGAGGTGCTTTGCATCCGCCTTAGACACTGCCTCTGGGGCCGTTACAAGTTCTCGGCCTCTCACGCTTAGTTACGACTGACATATGTTTTTCGTATACGCGTGTATCATCGGTGTATAGTGAAAATATTCAAGAAAAAAAAAAAAAGAGTTAGTCCAACAAGAAGGCTTGACCAACTGGCTTGTTGGTCCAACAAGCCGGTTGAACCTACTGATCAGTTGGTCCAACAAGCTGGCTTGACAAACCGGCTTGTTGGTCCAACAAGCCGGTTGGACCAACTGATCAGTTGGTCCAACAAGCCGGCCGGACCAACTGGCTTGTTGGTCCAACAAGCCGGTTGGACCAACTGATCAGTTGGTCCAACAAGCCGACCGGAACAACTGGCTTGTTGGTCCAACGGTTGGACCAACTGATCAGTTGGTCCAACAAGCAGGTCGGACCAACTGGCTTGATGGTCCAACTATTAGATATAAAGGACCGAGTCTAGAACGTTTAGGGGCCGAAATATCACAAAATCGTTGGACCTAATTTCTGTTGGGTGCAAATGCACATTGCACGACATCCTGCCGTCTGTTTGTACGAGTATGCGTGTGCGAATGCATTTGCGTGTGAATGGTGTGTTCGTGTGTTTGTTTGCTTTCGCATTTTTCGCTTGATGCATTTGCAGGTACTCGCGCAATGTGCGCTTCGGCACAACATTGTACGCGCTATGAACAGTGCAAGCAGAAAGGACGAGCTCGCAAAGGAACCCAAGATGGAAGCTTTGCAGTTCGGTTGAGTTGATTGCGCAGATTCAGTTCTATCCAACTCGAAATTGTACTGTTTTGTTTGGTTAACTATAGTGTAGCAGGGAAGGCACTATAGGGGTACAATTTAGGTGAAGGTTGGATGTTGTTTGTCTGTATCTGCATGCTACAAGGCCAGGGGAAACCAGCGGAACCAGCATTTGGCTGGTTGGGCAAAGACAAAACAGGTTCTGTTTTTAGAACCTGAACCTGGTTGTTGTTTTCCCAGGTTGGAAAAACAGAACCAGAGGTTGTTTACCAACCTACCACCTGCTATTTTGTCCAGCCAGGTTGGTTCTGTTGCTTGGAATTATTTGGGATCATCCCTGGTTGTTCCCAGGTTGATTCCCAAGGTCCTTGCTAGCTAGAACTATTTAATCCTTCTCTGTTTGTACCTGAATATAGTAAAATTGATTCAAGCGAATTCCTTCCTCGCTGGAATTTCGTTTCTGCGCTATTCGACGGCGGAATGCTACCCGAGTCAACGCTAGTATGCTAGCACTCCAACGCTAGGCAAACGCTGTCCGAGCCAGAACTTAGTAATGGCAGAACTTTTCGCGAGGCAACTTGGCTCATTTTAAAGCTCTTGGAGCGAGCTTCGATATAGCGAATTCTCAGCTTAATCCGACCGACGGTCTGCACGGCACGCTGCGCGACGTTCAAGGTACTCTTGCTGTTTTGACTAAGTCCTTCTTGATCCCTCTCTCTACAAACTCGGACCCGAGGATAGGGGCTGGTCTTGTGCCAGGCACCCAGGGACCCTTGGAGGTGACCCCGAGGAGAGGTTTTAAGTTTGATTAAGTCCTAATAGCTTGAGTTTATTAGGCCCTTACACCAACAAGCTGGTATCAGAGCTGCGTTATAGTGATCCTCGTTATAGGTAGCTATGGCGGGCAACACCTCGGCGGGAGCTGGTGAATCTTCAGCCCAAGATCGTAGCGGCAGCCAAGATTCTGGTCTTTCAGCGCCAAGGGGAGCGCGAACAAACCAGGGCTCGCTTGTCAAGGAGGTGCTGAAGAATTTCACCGTCGAGAAGTTCAATGGTGAGGGCTATGATGATTGGGCCTGGAAAATGCAATTATATTTCCGTCAGATCGGTTTGCTGAAACTAATGATTGGGGAGGAGCCTAGACCGAGTGACCCCACGCTGCAGGAAGATTGGGACGAGCGCTCCTCGGCTGGCTACTATTTGATGTCGCAGAGTTTGGAGCTGAACCAGCGTCACCACGTCATGCACCTGCTGCCGGAGGTTGAATGCGGTCCGAAGGCGTGGACCGTGTTGAAGGAGCTGCACGCCCCGACCTCCGTTGTCGCAACGTTGATGCTGGAGAGGGAGCTGTCCGCGTTGCGCCTGAGCGAGGGAGAGCCGGTGCAACCAGTCCTGGACAAGATGCGCGACCTCTACGCGAAGTTGGCGACCGCGGGAATCACCTACCCGGAGCAGACCAAGTGCTTGAAGATGCTCTCGCTGCTGCCGGAATCGTGGCTTCAATTTACGAGCGGATTGAGCCTGCCGCAGAACCAGAGCTTGTGGACGCTCGAGTGGGTGCGGACGAAGATTCTGGAGGAGGACTTCCGTCGCCGCCAACTGAGGGGTGGAGACGACGGCAGCAGCGGCTACGGGATGCAAGGGAGCCGACGTGGCAGAGGACGTGGCTTCGGTGGTGCTGGACGTGGTGCAAAGAAAGACGACGACTCCAACGACCAACAAGGAGGTACCGGTTGGGGTCGCGGTGCGAAATCTGGACGTGGGGGCAAGTCGGGTGCTGGTGGCAAAATGAAAGGGAGTTGCTGGTATTGTGAGAAGGAAGGGCACCCCTGGTTTTTGTGCTATAAGAAACCCGATGGATGGACCCCCCAGAATCGTCACCAGGATGGCGGCGCGCGGAGGAACCAGAAAAACGGCGCCAACATGGTCGCTGATTCGTCCGACAACAACCCGAAGGGCAACGGCGGTGCGGAGAAGAAGAAGGAGCGCACCGCGGGCCAATTCTTCCATGTGGGAGACAAGGGGGAGCAAGGAGACGCCTCTGCCAAAGTTGGAGCAGAGCTGCACCCCCTAGACTATTGGGTGTTGGACACAGGCGCTGCTTGGACGATGACGCCGCGCAAGGACCTGCTGGACGAAGTACGAGCTGCACCGATCAATGAAGTGTGCTCCGCCTCTGGACACATGTTGAAGGTGGCTGGTGCGGGACGAGCTGCGTTTAAGGGAGCGGATGGCAAGCCGGTGGTGCTGCACGACGTTCTCTTCGTCCCCGACCTGAAGGCCAACCTTATCTCCCTCCGTAAGCTTGGCAAGGCTGGGGTGAACACCAACACGGATGGGGCACGCACTTATAAGGGGAAGCTGGGCAATCGGGTGCTTTGGGATCTGCACGAGAGCAAGGACGTGTACAGATCTATGTGGCAGCTGCCGGCCCTGGCGTGGCATGGTGGGGGGCAGGCTGGAGAGGGGTCTGCATCCCAGGGGGAGTGCAATGCCGTTGGAGGGGTTGGTGTGAAAGTGTCGGCCAGATCTGGGGAGACAGATTGGGCAACGGCACACCGACGCTTA